TATATGGTGAGATTATTCGTTCCGAAGTAAGGGTACTTTCGGTATTACCCACTACTACTTCTTATTTCTTCCGAATCTTGATAATGAAGCATACATCTTATCATTACCCATCCAAAGAGTACATTGGTTTTAATTAAGAATGTTTATATTTTTTACCCTTAACCAAATAGATACCGGTCATAAACATTTCATCGAAGGTTTTCCATTCAACATTCAAGTTATTTGTTCAATAATATTGATGGTTAATGGATGACTTAGTTCAGTTCATCTTTAGATTAATGGTTTATAGTTAACTGTGGCATGATTTTAGACAGTTTAACAATTAAGGTGTTGTTTGTTTTTTTCTCAAAATGACTTATTGGCCACTTTTGTCTGTACCGTGCAAACATTTAAACTTGCACACTGTTTGTTTTTTAGTAAATTACACGAATGGTCCCTATGGTTAAGGCTAATTTGTACGTTCGGTCCCTAATTTTTTTTTTTTTTTTTTTTTAATTCAGAAGGTCTCTACTATTTGTTTTTGCTATGTGTTTGATCTATGTCTTACCTAAAAATACTATTTTGCCTTTGATTTTTCAATTTATTTAAATAAACACACCCCAACCTCACCCCCACCCCATCACCTTACATTACCTACCCCACCATTTTTTCATATTTAAATAATATTTTTTATAAGTAAGACAGGGACCAAATACATAACAAAAACAAAAACATTATAGAGCAAGTGCGTAACAAAAACAAATAGTAGGAACTTTCTGAGTTAAAAAATTTAATTATATTCCAAACCATATGGAGCATTCGTTTAATTTACTCTTTGTTTTTAGAAGACTGTGGATATATATGGTCTCTACATCCTCCTTTTGGGGATAAACTTGACCCATCCACCTCTTACCTCTGTGGGGTGCCCATCCTGTTTTTTGGTGATAGACTTGGTCCATCCACTTCTGCACATCTCCACATTCTGTTTTTGGGTATAGATTGGCCCATCCACTTGTGCACATCTCCACATCCTATTTTTGGGGATAGATTTGGCCCATCCACTTCTTACCTCAGCAAGTTATCTTTTCGTGTAATTAAAAAAAAAAAAAAAAAAAAAAAAAAAAAAAAAAAAAAGGACGAATCCCTTATTTATAATTTATAAGAATCAAAAGGCCACTTCTTTTCAATTTTATATTTATTCATGTCTTCTTTATATAAAAGTCTCATCCTTGTTTTCTGTCTTCAATGAACTGATATGGGACACGTGATTTTCATACACCATCCAGTTTTTTCACAATTATCATTACTTAAAATATCACATCAAATATAATTCAATTTAAAATAGTGTGTATAGAAATATAATAGTTTTAAAAGTAATATCCAATAATTTAATAAGTTAGACGACGAATACATGAAAATATAATGATTAATGTGTTTCCTAATTATATATAACAAATATTTTGAATTTTAAATATTAATAAAAAATTAAAAATAAATTATAATGATGGTTGTATAAATTTAATTTTCGACATTGTAAAACTATAATTATTGAAATAGTCTTTTAAGTTTCAAAAAACCAATTTATTTAAAAAAAAAAGGTTTTACACAATCTAGAGACTTTAAAAAAACAAAAGTATTTTCATCGTAGACCGTAGACGTTTGATCCGCCTTTTTTTTTTTCTTTCTGTAGGTGTCTACAGATATAATCCGCAGACTGCATATATTTTACCTCTTAAAAAACAGATAACACCTAAATATTTTTAAATTTTCTTTATAAGCTTTATGTTGTGGAAAATGACCGATTCTAATCATATTTAGTATTTACCTCACAAAAAATAGGAGGCAATCCGTGATTAAGGGACAACCATGCATATTCACCAATTCATAGGTTCATCATTAATATCTTCTGGCTCAAAACAAATCAAACACATATTTAAGTAAAAACATAAAATCAAAACCAACAATGCCAATGTAATTATTTGAAAAGCATAATGGCGGATGATACTTTAGAAGAACGAGAATGGATTTTTAAACGATTTGATGACAATGGAGATGGAAAAGTCTCTGCAGCTGAGCTCGCAAAAAACTTGAAGACACTCGGTTGTGTGTCAGATGAACAAATCCAACGTATGATGACTAAACTTGATACAGATGGAGATGGGTATATTTCGTTTCAGGAATTTACAGATTTTTATAATGCTAATAGATTATTGATGAAAGATGTCGCAAGGTTGTTATAACAATCTTTTTGAGAATCAATGTATTTGTTTTGTTATAGATTTCTCAAGGTTTCTTACAAGTAATGTTATCATTTGATGTATACTTTAAGAAGAATTAGAAATTTTCTTTTGACACATTTTAAGAGTTGAAAAGGAAACATTACTTGTTTTCTTTTCCTTCCTTTATATTTATTGTCGGGATAATTAAATGCGACATACTTTTAAAGTAGTCTTTTTATATTTGTATTTGGTTTTCCAATTAGTCTTTCTTTGATAAAAATATTTTGTCATTTGAAGGATTTTGAACAAAACGTATGGCACACGTTTTTAATTCCGTTTGCATGAATAAATAAGTTATGATTTGATCATTTGAATAAACAGTAAATGAAAACTATTGTTCATACTTATGCTGAATGACATAAAATTAGTATTCTACTCTTATATCAGACGTTAATGTTGAATTAAAATGAAAACTTTGTGAACAACAATTTTGAATGATAAATAAATAAATTATTTAAATATTTTTGAAATGTGATAATAATGTTGTAAAATCAGCATATCATTAAGACTGCAAGATGCTAGTTTCTCAATTGCCCAATCATAAAACCAATATACGATATAAAAAAAATATAAACTGATGAAAATTGGATCCACAGCTAAACACTTAACATACTTAGCTATAAAAAGCAATATATAAAAATAAATGTTATTTAAATAAATAAATAAATAAATAGTAAAATTGTTAATATCATTATTAACCATTGAAGAAAATGTGAGCGTGCCGGAGTGGTTATCGGGCATGACTAGAAATCATGTGGGCTCTGCCCGCGCAGGTTCGAATCCTGCCGCTCACGTTTTTAAATTTAATTATTTATTTTTTTCATTTTCAAAAAAAAAATTAAAAACATTAAAATTATCGCTAGAAGGAGGGCTTGAACCTCCGACCTTGTGGTTAACAGCCACACGCTCTAACCAACTGAGCTATTCCAGCTACGTCGTATGTTGTGAAATTAATGAATTAAAATAAAGAATAATAAAAATAATTTTTTAATTTGACATATGACAGTATCCTGTTTAATCTTCTTATATTCATTGTTTTTTATAGTTATATTTTCTAAGATTTCAGAATTTATTGTTCTTTTTATAATGGCAAATTTAATATATTTATAAATTGTTTATAATTTTAAATATATCTCAGACGAGACTTTAACGTTAAACTTTAATAAAAAATAGCAATATCTTAAGTTGAATATGAACTTTTGGTTGTTATATGTTTATGGACAATGTGTGGTAGGATATTTCATCTTAAGTCGCATTATAATTGGATCTAGTTAATAGGACATTTCGCTTATATTTAGTAGGCGTATGTCGGTACGAAATATAATGGATGCAAACTTCGTTTTAATTGCTTTATAATTAGTTTTTTTTTAATAAAATAGTAGGGATGAGCAAATGGACCGGGGAACCGGCCGGAACCGGTACCGGCACCGGAACCGGAACCCGATGGAACCGGTCGGGCCGGGATCGGGACGTTATTTTTGTAGATTTTTGGAACCGGAAACGGGTAGGAACCGAAACCGATATAACCGGAACCGGTAGAACCGGCAAAAACCGGAACCGTATAATGCTATTTTTCAAGGACCGGTTCCAACATTTGAAGACACTACAAGAACCGGTAGGAACCGGGAACCGGTAGAACCGGACCGGTAGAACCGTCGGGCCGGTTCGGTTCTTGATTTTGGCCGAAGCCGGTTCCCGGTTCCGATTCGGTTCGGGCCGGTTCCGTCCGGTTCGGTCCTTTTGCTCATCCCTATAAAATAGTGATCACAATACAACAAGTGAAAATGTAAACGGGTTACAAGTAGCGTCGCCAAATATTTTGTATGATAAAAAATCATTTATTTTGAAGTCTACATCTGTAGATCTAAATATGTAACATTGTTATGTATTATCTAGTTATCCTCTATTAAGAAGTTTTATCACATTCAGCTCGAGGAAACCAAACGTATCAAGCGCAAATGGTATGAATATATGTTGATTTTCCAAACACAATTCTTTTTTTTTTTTTTTTTTTTTTGCATGTAGTAGCTTTTAAAGCAGTCTGTCCCGTATTGAAACCTCAAACCTCAAGCGTACGTAGTGGCGGAGCCACATGGGACGTTGGGGGTACTACAACACCCCCAAAAAAATTATTTCATGTATATAAAAAAATATATTTGTAAACATGTTTTATATTATTAAAGCTCCAGCTAAATAGATTACATTATGTTTTTTAATTTCCCGTATATGATAACTACATAGAATATTTATTGATAATCTTTGTATCCCATATAAAGTTTCTAGCTCTGTCATTGAGCCTACGAGAGGGGATACCCCTGTAAGGTCCACACAAATGTGTCTTGCTCCCTTCAAAAAAATCAATACGTCACCTGGTCTAAGGGTTGATCGTCCTTCTACCAGGTCAGTCAAAAAATTCACATGTGTTTCTTTTTTGACGAAAACTCTGACACACTTAAGTATGTGAAACAAACGTAACAAATAAACAAGTCTGTGTAATTGTGTAAGGTACTAAAACATTAGTAACTACCACTACCAACATATAGAGTTAAAAATTAACTTCATTACAAACCTAGGCATGGACACAAGGAGATATTCGTTAGATTCCTAATACAAACATATGTATTAATGTGCGCATGATGTGTTTATATATATATATATATATAATATATATATATATATTATATATATATATATATATATATATATATATATATATATATATATATACTAGGAAAGTTAAAATGTCGTCCTAAGGACGTTCCATGAAGGGTAATCTGACCATCTTGAAGACAATAAAAAACGAAGTAGAGTGCTATAATCTTCAAAAAAAACTACCATATGAAACTTAATTAAGAAAAATGTAATGTGTTAATGAGAAAAAATTTGAAAAAGAAAGAGCTTTACATTAACAATTGATATTAAGATGCTATAATGTATAACTTAATGAAAGTACATTGCTATTTATAGACCGTACTTAAAGCTCACCACCACCGTCCATCAGAGTGGTTTTTCATGCATGGTGTTGGTCTGCTTACAAGATCTGCACAAGGAACATCGAAACTGACCGGTGTCAAACGCTAATGGTTTCAGCAACTTCACAAATAACCAACGAAAGTTGAGAAATACCTTGTGATTTTATGTAGTGATAAATGCAGAGCTTCAACTATCTCCAACTATTTTTAGCTTCACATTTATGATACAATAATTTTATGGTTAAAAGGGAAATCATCATTAAACTTACGAGCATTCATGTCAACTCCTTTTAAAGTTACGATGATTGACTGGGCAACCAAAAATTAAGTAACTTCACAAAAAATACAAAATATTGAAATCTAAAAGAACCGAACAATTATATAAAAGGATTCTCAATAACATCACTAAATTAAATTAATTGAGATTTAAGAGCTCTAAACTTCAAGTAACACCTACATATCGATATGTTAGACAATCAACTTTTGGTATAGCTGGGTGTGAGTGTGGGTATGCCTCTATGTGATGAAGAGCATACCTGGAACAAGTGTTGAGCTTAAGAAGTTAGGTAAAGCAAGCTTACATCTGAAACCAGAGTATTCAAGTATACAAGAAAACCAAAGATGTTATCATTACATGTATATGAGTAAGTTACGAAATCTAAATTTACAAAACTGAAGCAACACAACAATGGACCTCCCAAACAGACCTCTTACCAAACCTTTTCACGTCTTTATTGATCTGACCAGTCAGCATCAAACCAAACATCCTATAAATTTCTTTCCACATAGCAATGAGAAAACGGCTATACTAAGCCATAAAATAGAGAAACAAAAGCACAAAGAACAAGAACCAACAATTAAAAAAAATTGCATATTTCAAGCATAAAATAATCAAAAGTGTGTTTGGCATATTAAAAAACCAAATCAGAGATTGCACTGAAACATGGTAAGAAACCCAAAAGATTTGTAATTCTTTTTGTTAGGTTTTCTACAAAAGAAATTAGGAATGTGGGTGAATTCGTCTCCTTCTTCTGTTAAGATGGAATTTGTGTACCTTACCTCCTATCTTCCAGTTGTAGCAAAACAATAACTTTTGTTTTTTAATACAACTGAAATTGAGCATAAAAAGTTAAGTAGAATAAAGTATTTCAATTTACAAAAAAAGAGCTTACCATTACATCTTCAAAGTGTGAACATCCTCATCGAACTCCAACAAATCCACATTTTTAAGCCCATCATCACTGCAAATCAAAACTAAAAGAATGAAATTAGGATTTTCAATAAATAAAAAGAGATTAAATCTTGGGGTGTATTATGATCTATATAGGGGTAAACACAATAAATGAGAATTATAGGAAACGAAACCAATAGTACATGTAGAGGTCATGTACGTAGTGATCCAATGACGAATAAGGAACAACCGACACCACCAACAGTTTACTTCTTAACCAATGAGGCTTTTGTTTTCCCATAGATGAGTGTCGGTTGCCACAAACAGCAAGAGAGAGAGAGAGAGAGAGAGAGAGAGAGAGAGAGGTGGTATCAATTGAATGGAAATAATCCCATTGACCATCGCTGGGAGGAATCGTTTTGCATTGTCAAAACCGTAACCACCTCCTGCCTCGTCAGCCAAGATGAGAATGGGGAACAATGGTATATTGGGGAATAAAGAAATCGTGCTAGGAAAGTCTTCTTGGTACACACTACACACATTGAAGCGTAGTGGTGGGGGGCAGCGATATATGAACCAGTGAAATTCAAGAAGAACATGATCTATTTGTTTTGGAAAATAAATTACATAAATGGTAATGGAGGAGATAAGGTAGGAAACAATGGGTGTATATGTGATGGGGCAGCTGGCAAGGCTAGAAGGCCACAATTTGACAAAGCTATAAGACTGACTCATCATTTTTATCAGAGTTTAAAAAAAACATTTTATACAAGTAAAATTGAAAAAATATTAAACAATAAGAACCAAATATATAATTTTTTGGTAATATAATATATATTTTTTTATTACTGAATTTAATACACTGATCTCATCCACCTTCTGGATGGTTTCATTTTCTACTTTACAAAATTCCACATTAATTCTAAAACAATTCCACAAAAAAGCCATGCTAAATCCTCATACCATTTCTCATCCCACTTTCCTCAAGAATCTCCACTTTCTTCAAAGAAGAGTCTCACGTGTCTTTCTAAAATCCTCCATCTTTTTATCTTTAGGTGCACTTATCATACATGCAATAGCAATAGTGTCATACTAGTACACTACCCGTGCGATGCAGCGGCACCAAATAGTTTCTTTCGGCATATAGTTTTCATGTGATGTTTAGTTTCATTTTTCTGTCAAATAGTTTGTTTCATTGTTTCAGATAATTCTTTTTGACGAAGAGTTGCTAGCTAGGTACATAGATGCGGGAGCATAATAGTTTGTTGTCCGATGTCATCAATTGCTATGGTTTTTATTTTGTAATTATTTGGTAGGAGTGTGCATAAAGTGATAATAAAAAAACAATATTGAAAAAAATGATCTATTTTGAAAAAGTGGACTATAAATTTTCTTGTCCGACTATTTTATGTTAAAAATAAAATTATGTTGCTTTTTTGGGTTAAAAATAAAACTATTCCACTTTCTTATAATGATAAAATAGTTTCTATGAGTAGGTTCCATCACAATCGGTATTTCGCCTATGTCAGATAGTTTCATTTTTATGAATATTTTTTTTTATATTAGTTTAATTTTAAAACATTTCATATTAAAAAATACATAAGATGTGTGCTAATATCATTTATATTGTTCTTTTAAATTAAAAAAAGGTTTGTGTTGTTTTGGTTGAAAATAAAACATTGTTCATTCTTTTGCTTTAAAAATATAAGAACTCTATTAGATTAAATCTAAAGTATGTGTAGAAGTTACCTGCACGAAAAAAAAAAAAAAAAAAGTTTAATTTATCTCGTCGAAACAATGTACAAACTGGTTGTGAATAATAGAACAAACGATATATTTATCTGAATTTGCTTTAGGTTACTTCTATTAAATTATATATTTATAAAAAAACATAAAATAATAATATAATAATATATTACAAATAGAATAGTTACTTTTTTCCTTTTTTAGATGAATATTTATATATAATCGATTCCATATTACTGTTATTTATTTGTTTAGTAGTTGCTTCATCATGGCTTATTTGTTATATTTTTTGGAAAATGCCAAACTATATAAAGCACCCAAAGTGAGAAAGAAGTAAAGAGGAGCAAAACAGGAACAAACATTAAAAGTTTGAACAATTACAGGCCCAAATTTTTTTTATTTATTTGTAAATAAAAAGTTTTATTTTTATTGATTAATAAGAAAATTAGTTAAAATGGATAATCCCTTTTTGACTGGGATGTATCGTGGAAGAATCAATAAATTGTTTTCATCTTCAATCATAAATCAAATTTCGATAGAAAATTGCGCAAAAACATATAAACTAAATAAAATTCATTATAGCCTTCTTCCCTATCCTAATTCTCCAGAATATGAACATAAAATAGATCCTAATTCCTAACAAAACTTTTTATATCATATATGAAAAATCAAAAACCGTTACGTTACAAAGAAATGGTATATCTCATCGTAAAAATCAGAAGAAATTTATAAAGGTAATTTTTAAAATACAAAACTATGTGTCAACTTGTTGAAAAACATTTATTGGATTGAGTTAACTTATTTATATTATCACTAATATAAGATATTTTTAAACAAAAACATGATTTTCGATTAGAATTTGACCACAAACATATATTTTTCACATCACCAACCATTAATTACTAAGTTAATATTCAATTAATTTTCTTTTTTCATGTCGGATCAATACTACATCAAACAATTTTACTTTTTATAGTAACATCACAAATCAAGATAGAACTTGAATCCAGATTCGAACAAAAACATTCATTTATTGCACCAATACACCAATGAAAGCGAATAGTTTTACGAAGTCAAAGTCCGGAATAAAACTGTTGACTTAACTTGACTTTGATATCCTTTGAAACTCATAGTTCATACTTCATAACGTAAAATTGATGACTAAATAATACATCTTTTGTAGACCTCTTTTTCTCTTCTCATCTCTTTTAAATTGAAATAAAATAAAAGTGTGAGCCTATTTCACATAATAATGTGCAAATTAGCTTAACAAAACAATAATCATCGGAGATAAACACCCACAAGCTTGGTTGGGTTTTAAAACAAAAAATCCATAAAAACTGAATAAGTTATTCCTTAAAAGAAGAAAAGAGCAATAAAAATGCTACATGAAAAAAAAACCAATAATGTTGTTCCATTAATACATAAAAAACTCACCCTACAATAAATCACATGTTAATCAATCCAGAGCATGAACTAACAAAGATCAAAAGAAAAGACATTTGTACCCATCCGATCTCAAAAACTGAAATGGAATGAATGGTTGAAAAAGCCATATGTTGGTAAATCACATGAAATTCCTCTTTTTTACAATCTTCTACCAACTGTCTTGATTCCTTTCTACTATTACACTGCATCGATTTAACATATAGTCAAAGAAAAAGGTAAATATAATTACAAACACAAAAAGGATGTTCAATTTCAAACATAACTTGATAAAAACATTCAACCAAATGCCTGAAAAGGAATCAAACACGCCACTCTGAAAATATTCACAGTATCCAAATTATAATTCTTACTTGTATAAGAAAAGTCAAGGTGATCCACTTATTTCATATGCACATTTAGAGGATCTTCTGCCTCCCAAGAGAGCAAAACATAAATGCTTGAGATTTAGCCCCTAAACATATAAAGAGGAGAATCAATGGCAAGAAACATAATACATGTTTATGAGTAATGTACGCTCTAAAGTAGAAAACTGATGTCAGATTACATTAACGCCAACATTGATACCAACAGAGTCCGCAAGCGTAAATATGACATTACTTTAGGAAGTGGGTTTAGGATTTTAACTTTTGTCCTCATCTTCATCCTGCAGTAACGAAAACATTAATATATACATATAAATGCACCGATTCCACAAAAAACACAGACAATAACATATAAATTGCCTAGTATTTGTAGTAAAGGAAGCTCGTGGATTGTATAGTGGAAGTGATATCTGGAAAAAGTAATAGTTAGAACTTTTGAATTGAATATTAATCAATAATATTGATATGGAAAAGGTTATAGAAGGTTATAGTAAGAGAAATAACATACTCCAAAGTCACATGTCTTATACATTTTAGACATCCAATATAGTTCAACTATGAAAGTTCTTCATTTGTCTCCCCCTTCACAATGATAGTTGATTTTATTATTTATGCATATTTATATTCAAACCCATATCAAAGCCAACCAAAACCATATCGAACACCAACAAAATTAAATCAATATCAAAGTTATATTAGAGTCACAAAAAAGAAAACATGTATTGTTTATATCTGGATCCAGATACAGAAAATTGACATATGAAAGAAACCAAAATAAGCATACCAACATGTATCTGATGATTTTTAACCATGATCTACATATATACAACCTAAAACACTAATAAAAGACATATGTTACAAATTTTGATAATAATGTTTCGGAAAAAACTATCCACATTGGTTATGAGTGCTTAGTGAAAGTTACCATCAATAATGGATACATTAAGGAAGACAGTTGTTATAACTCCATGTTTATGGTAAAAATAGAACGATCTACCTCACAGGTTATGCGATCATTTCTAAAATTGTGTAGCTAATAACAATGCATTAGTTCTACATTCATACAAACCCCATCAACTGAAAATGGTAAACAAAAAGTTGATTAAATCCGTAAAATAGACATTTATAACAGGTATCCATATGGTTTAAGATTTGTCATCAACCATTATACCTTAGTTAATACCAAGGAGAAGTGTTTCTTGACAAAAATTTAATTAAAGGGCTGCGTAAATTATAAGATATGTGTAATTATACCTTGTATGTTCCAGAATAGCAAAAGAATGGTTCGATATTTAATTTTCTACTGCAAAAAATCATCAAAAACATAGATTTAAAGCCTTACAACAAGTTTTACACAAAAGAAGTTCAATCCAAGCCTACTATGCAGAAGAAGTGTTTGAAAATGTGAACTACCTGAAAACATAAATGGTTAATAATGGAACATTAAATAATAAGATATGAGAGTTATCATAATTCATACCCTTATGTATGACCTCAACATAATTGCATGTAACCAAAATCTTTTGGAAACAAAAAAAAGTAACAAAATGAAGACTAAGTGATACCTACCTAGTACCTTCTTCCAAACATCAAAAACAAAAACAAAATTAAGATGAATATGCAAGGATATCGATTAAAAAAAGGAAAAGCATACATACCTTTTATGCCTTTCAAACAAAATTCGATGAAACTGATTCTACTTCCTTTGACTCACGTTCCCCTGTGTCTTCATAAAGTAAGAATAAAATAGAATAATTTTAAAACCCACATACTAATAGCTAGATCTAAGAATACAAATTTCTTTATCATCTATGAAATCTATAGTTTGTTTAACATATTAATAAATAGAACCAATTGAGCCATAACTCACCTGATCTA